ATTTTAGTTTTACAAAACTATTACCTTTAAAAGAGAAATCAAAAAGAAACATCTTGTGTATGCTAAATTCAGGGTTTGTCAAGCTGCCAAAGAAAATAAATGATTTAAATGCAAGGTCTTTTAGAAAGAAATTTATTACTCGTAAAGTTAATACTTCCTATTCATCAAGATAAACCTTTTATAAGAGAGTTAAAATGTCTTAATGGTTTGCAGAAGAAAATTCATCCTTTAAACTCAGAAATGTTTCACTAATTCTGAAAAAATATTTTCATCTCTTATCTTAAACAGATATTTCCTGAAGTTCCCGTTGTCTCCTGAAAAAATAGAACTCTGAAAAATATCCTTGTTCACACAAAAGTGAATTACATCCCACCCAAAAATGATTGTTGTCCATGTAATAAAGCCCGTTGTCATAACTGCAAGTTCATAAAAACCACTGACTCATTTTCTGACAAACACAATCAAAGAAACTAAAATATCCAAAGAAATCACTTGTAAAACGAAAAACACCATTTACCTTATACGATGTAAAAAATGCAATTACAAATATGTAGGACATACACAAACAACTCTTAGAGAACGTTTCAACAACCATAAATCTTCTGTTAATACCGAAAAAGATCTCCCTGTTGCTCAACACTTTAACTAACCCGGCCATTCCATTAACGATGTTACTCTCGTGGGCACTGAAAGAGGATTCAAAACTAAAGCAGATAGAGAAATAGAAGAAGCTTATTGAATTGCTAAGCTAAACATTGTTCAACCTATCAATATCAATCTAGATTCTGGAATCATCATTGGTTTCATCTGTGTCAGAAAAACAATTTTTATTCTTTGCCTTATTTTTTTCATGTAATGTGAACACTGAATTTCCTAAAGCATAATATTTATTTAAAATAATTTTCCATACCTGTTTTTATAAATTGATTGGCATAACATATCCTTTTTAATCAGTCTCCAGGTGTCACTTATTTTACTTAAACACTTGAGTATAGTTTCAAATATACATATATTTATCCATTTCTAAAGTAAAATATCCCTACACTGTACTGGAAATGAGATGTTTACAACAGTGCATAGACTAAACATTTCCTGGAAAACCTGATGACCTTCGTGATGTCACTAAACCCCCTTTATATATATCACTCATTCAATTACACCACCATACCCAGTTTGCCCCTGAAGAAGAAAGATCCACCTTTCAAAAGCACTCGGGTTATTGGGTTTTTATTCATTTCTTTTAAATAGAATATATTGGACATAAATAAATAAATGCTTTTGGTTTTATGCTTCATGTAAAGTTAATGTTTATAGGCACGTGTTTACTCATTCATTCCAAATGAGTGTTTGAGGTTCTCCATCTTTTCAGCAGTTTAGCTCTCATGTTTTCTTAACCATTTGGTTTTGCAGATTACAAATGTAAACCAAACAGTATTGAAAACTAAAGCTCTTATGAACAGGATTAGGTCTATGGTATAGAACCTCATCCACTGGAGCTGTATGTACCTGAAAAAATGTGGATATTCACCTAATATCTTTATATGTTACTCTCAATTTCTCCTGTGTTTTGAATGAGCACTTAAAAGTGAGATAGGTTAAAACTGAGTGATAAAAAATGTATTGTTGTGAGTCATACTAGAGAATAGACCTAAATAACACCTTGTAACTACCTCCTACTGGTTAGCTTTCTTGGGTTGTAACTCCAAACACTGAACTATCGTCTAATCCAGTGTTTGGAGTTACAACACTCAGGAGAACCCATCAGTAGGAAGATAGTTCAGTGTTTGGAGATACAATTCCTAAGAAAGCTTATCAGTAGGAGTCTAATCCAGTGTTTGGAGTTACAACACTCAGGAGAACCCATCAGTAGGAAGATAGTTCAGTGTTTGGAGATACAATTCCTAAGAAAGCTTATCAGTAGGATCCTACTGATAAGTTTCCTTGAGTATTATATCTCCAAATACTGAACTATCTGCCTACTGATAGGTTCTCCTGGGTTGAGTAAATACCATTTGATGATTAGCAGATAAAACTTTTGAAAGACCCAGCTGGTACAGAAAGCATTAATTTATTCAACAATTTAGAATGCCTTTCTATATCCCTATACTTTTCAGATTATGTTTGAGTTATTATAAATAGCAATTTCTGATTTTCCTTTCAAACTATTTTGTAGCGAGGAGTTGTGTGGGAGGAGGTTCTGATCATGTTACCTGATCATGTTGAGTTGATTCTACTAAGTGCCACTGTACCTAATACAATGGAGTTTGCAGACTGGATTGGGTGAGCTTTTAATCTTACACTGAATTAATATGTTAATAAGGTACAGTCAAGCTCATTTTGCATGAAGAAATTAAGCTCATTGTGGAGTTCAAATAAATCAAAGATTAGTTTGGATACTCTTTTGTAATTTGTACCATCTATAAATATTGTTTTAATGTTTTAATCATAATATGATGCATTTATGAAATGAGTATCACTTTTTTTCCCATTAAGATTCCTTTTCTAAAGGTATGGCTTCAGAAATGTTGAAAAATTCATATTTATAAACTGCATGATTTTAAAACTTCTAGAATGAAAGCTAAAAGATACTTTTTGAATCACATATATATCAAGTATTTTTGTATAACTTACTGAAGATGCTGTGGAGTCTGTCAGTGATAGACTTACTTGATGAGGAACCAGTATTTATTAAATAAAAAATGTCATTCTTCTGACTATAGACGTACCAAAAAAAAGAAAATCTATGTTATCAGCACACTTAAGAGGCCGGTGCCTTTGGAACACTATCTCTACACTGGAAGTGGAGGAAAATCGCGAGATGAAAAATTCTTGATTGTTGATGAAAATAGCAAATTCTCAACCAAGGGGTAAGTGTAGTTATTAATAACAATGAAATAAGCATTTTTTTGGAACATGAAGTGAAAGTTTAGGCTCCATTACATGTACTATTAAAAAATAAATAAACTTCTTTGAATTTCATGGTTTTAAAAACTTATTACAAAATTTGGGTATTCTTGTTTTTATAAAGCATGACAGTAAGAATTAGGGTTACTAAAACCCTATCAAATTATAATATCAAGATTAAACATCTGATTGTAATTATGTTTTCATAAAGAAAATAGTCTGTAGATATACATTTGAAACATATTTCATTTCAGAAATAATTCTCACGATATCGCTGTCATACTAAACCTAATTTCAAACATGAACTAACCAGTCATGCGTTTTCTTTTTTTTTTTTTTTTTTTTGGCTTCTTGTTTCATCTTGAGCCATATTTTTATCAAACTTAGATTAAACATTCTACAAAAGTACATTGTAAGCTCACAGTAAGGAAATATTCTGGTGCATATCTCTTCTTCTCATCCTTTCCATTGAAATGTGTATATATACATTAATGAAATAAACAAGTTCCTTTTCCAAAATGAAGGAAAATCTAGTATTGCTTTTAGTAATATTGTATAGATGTATTAGAACATCCAATTAATGAATTATCACATTTAGTATTTGTAGAAAAATGAAAGAAATGGACAAGTAGAACTGTTTTGTACAGTAATATATGTGTACTGTAATAATCATGTGAATGGATAACTTCAGTTCAAATTGGAAAACGAGTATTCATAACATTTGCTCCTCAATAAAAAAGTTTGTCCAAAACGAAGTTATGGTACAAATACCTTTTCAAGCTGATAAAGCATGGTTAAAATTAACTTACTTGTCATAAGACATTAGTATTAAGCCTATTATATTATTAGCTTTATAAATAGTGTTCCAACAACTAACTATCTCGCCTAATGAGCTATGCATTGAGCGAAATGTGCTATTGGCAGTGGATATGATGAACATGGTTGTGTTGGAATGCTATTATTATTCACTCTCTAGTTCTTGAAAATCCCTAAGGGACTCGATATAAAATGTAGTGTTAGAAAATATAATAGGTGTCATGCTAATGTCTGTCGAAATGAAGGTTACTTTTTTTTTTTTACATTTTTATTTTTATAAAATAATTTGTCTGAATTGCCTAATGTAATTGCATATCTGTTTTTTCAAGTAGCATTTTCAAAAGTTGTAAATTGTGCTGCGGTTAGCCTTTTTCTACTCAGAATAACTTGACTGTTAATGAGTTGCTTTGACTAAATTACAAACTTATTTATTTATTTAAAATCTAATCTAACTACTGAAAAAACTACTACTTATTAGGTGGATTTCTGGTATTACTGATTTACTTTTTACTCCTCTCCCCCATTATAAAGATAGTGGAAATAATATGAAAAACATTTTCAGATACCAAGCAGCTGTCAATGCCAAAAATGAGAGAGCCAGTAAATTCCAACAAACCAGAGGTCCCAAGGGGCCAAGACAGAATGTCATGCCTCAGCAGGTTGTTTTTTTTGTGCTTGTTGAATCCAAAATTATGTGAACAATAAATAAAGTTCAATAACTCTTAGTGTAATGCAGTTTTAAGTGCAAACTTTAAAACATTTATTAAAAGTAGCTCATAACTACAAAAATTTTACTTTTCCATGTGCAGTAGCATTGGTTTAGTTTGCTTCCCAAACAAGGTAACTTGCTGTAGTCTTAGAGATTTTTGAACCAAGGAAAGGTCACCATCTTGAAATAATTGACTACTCTGGTAATTAGTAACTATAAATACAGTACTGAACTCATTTTGCTCGAACAGCTGATATCTGATGTTATTAATTACTATTAGCAAGTGAATATAATTCTTCTCATAAACGATGATGACAAAACCTTGTTGAATCATTGTATATTTCTTACTGTAGTAAGCTTGTAAGAAAGTTTTCTTCATTATCATTCAAGCCATCTCCAAACATATGAAGGTTAAACTTTTTGGGTGGATCATATTGATTAATAAAAAAAAGAAACTGTACATTTTTATAAAAAAATATTAATTTCCATATTAATATATAAGTTAAAATAATTTTTTTCAGTAAACTAAAATTTTCAGAAACTCGTGTAATTTTTTTATTATTATTGTTTTTGACTACCAATGTACATTAATTTTTTTACTGATAGGAGAAGAACACATACATTGCTTTAATAAATCATCTTACCAAATTGGAGAAGCTTCCAGTTGTGTGCTTTACCTTGTCACGTAATCGTTGCGACAACAATGCATTCCTGTTGTCTAGTGTCGACCTAACTACTGCTCGAGAGAAGGGGGAAATACACTCATTTGTTGACATTTGTGTAAAGCGATTGAAAGAAGCAGATCGACGCTTACCTCAGGTAAGAAATATTTAAATTTATTAAACATCTGTGTGTGATTTTCAAGATAACTCATCTCCGCACACAGAAATGCTGTTTCCCTCTTGTATCTGCCTATAAAATTTGCATGCCAATAATCTTGAGCTAATTCCCACATAAACTCATAAGTTTAACATGAATTGTGCTGCATGATGACACCATCATGTGACAACAGCCCTCCATCGATAGGAGGGCAACGCAACCTTCATGTGCAGTAACCTCTCACCCCATGTAATTGAATTCAGGACAACTTCATTCTTTTCCTCGATATTGCACTGAACAGACATGTTCAACTTTTTTTGTCCGAGTTCAATTGGAGGAGATTTGCATTTGTTAACGAAACTTTGGTTTCCAATACATACAACTCTTCTCCCACTTATAGCTATTACTCGGCTGCCAGGGTTTCTTCTTATGCCCATCTAAGCATTGGTCTGATTTTTTCTTGCTTGCTCCAGTCTTTTATACCCCACTTAATTTCCCTTGGCAATATTTGTC